CTCGAGCTCACCCGATCCAAGTGTTGACAATTCGAGTGATCCGACTGATCCGACTTTATCAAGTAAAAAGATATCGTATCGATATCGATTCTTATCTAGATTTGTTTTTATCCTTTTAAACCCAGCTTTACTTGAACATTTATGAAATAAGTTTAAAACCGACATCTGAAATTTGATAACTGTTCAAGTAAAGCGAGGTTTGCCTCACCTCAACCTCACCTCAACCTCACCTCAACCTCACCTCAACCTCACCTCAACCTCACCTCAACCTCACCTCAACCTCACCTCAACCACTTCTTCAATATTTTCAAGCAAAAAAAATCTTAACAAAGAGAAATGTTCAATAAAATGATTACCTTAAACTACTTTTTCTAAACTTATGACTAAAATTGGAATTATTCAGGTGATTCCACTTCTACAAGCATTTCAACATCAACCGATCTGATTGCTGCGAATGAAATGACATCAACGATCATGAATCAGCCAATAGGAGATGATAAGAATCAAAATATGACAAGCACAAGTAATCAAGAATGCATTTTTTTTGGATATTTGGTTCCAGGTGATTCTACGCCTCCTGAGAGCGATAACACTTCACCACCTCTAAACGAATCTACGGAAACACCGGTGACAGGTAGCTTTTGAAAATTGAGCTTAAAAGCAGCTTGATATAAGATTTTTATTAAAAAAATTGATCTAATATTTGAATTAAAACTGTTTAGAATCAGCAGGACTAACCGAAGAGTCAGACTCGACGACGAGCTCGAGTCAAACATCCTTGACACTGACTTTGAGTGACTCCACTTTAACTGCTACTGGTACCATAATAAAAAGAAAGTAGAACTACTATAAGTACAATTTTTTAGAAACTGATCCTAGTGGAGAGAACACGGAGTCGACAGTGGAAACGCGAACAACGAGAACTATTGATATCACCGGAAGTGTCATGGACGATTCTACAACTTGTAAGTGAAAACTTTAAGCACTTTTAAGCATTTCAATAATTGACTGAAATTTTGATTGTTACAGTGTCAAATCTATATTGTAAGAAAGAAGGAATTGACAAGAAAGAGTAGATTTCTGGAGAGAGGATCGAACCCTCGACCTTTCACTTTCTGGACAATTACTGTAACCAATGAGCTATCCGGTACCTTGACTTGTAAAGGATTGTCGTGACGATCTCGTGATCGAGATCGCCACGTAAAGGAGTGTGGAGTGTCTCTAAAGGATTGTCGTGACGATCTCGTGATCGAGATCGCCACGTAAAGGAGTGTGGAGTGTCTCTAAAGGATTGTCGTGACGATCTCGTGATCGAGATCGCCACGTAGTGGAGTGTCTCTACTCTCCCAATCTCAAACCACTGAACCAACTATTATCGCTGTAATAAAGATTATATCTAAACCAACAATAATCACTACAAGAACTTATCCAGTAACCCTTTCAACCACAACTACGGGATCTACTGTGAGAGTGAATACGAATCAAACCATCACAACAACAAGAATTACAAATGTTCAAAATTCTACATTGCTTTACGATCCTGGATCAAGTAAGACTGAAATAAAACAAGAGAATTGATTGTTTTAGACACGACAACAGCTACAACCACCAGTGCTGGTTTGATTTTTCGTTGAACGCTTTATTGTTGCTTTTAGATGTTGTGCATTCTGACTATACTACTTCCACCACTTCACCCATTTCCCACTCATCCGACGCGACAACTACAATCATTGGTCTATTACTTAATCAAAGTTTATGAGATTGTTGTGCACATTTCAGATGATTGGAATAATACGCAGAAATCAATCATAATCGGTGTAGATGAGACTACACAAGTGAACAAGGAAAACACAACAAAAGCACCGAGTGGGTCAACGATAAAAACAACTACTGTATCAAATGAACAAAACACGACAATAATGAGAAACACTGGAGGTGGTGGGAGTGGAACTGACAATGGAAGTGGAGATGGAGATGGAAATGGAGGTGGATCAGCTGTTATAGGCGCACAAATAAAGTTATAGCTTATGTTCATACATACTCTTGGTACTGACTTATATCGGAATGTAATAAGATGTAAGTAAGATTGTAAGAACTAAAGTCCTTTTTGGCAAAATTCAACTTTACGGTCTGATCAAAATCAACTTTCCAAAAAAACCTGGTTTCTATGTTTTCCCTCATGCCGGAATGCACAAAAAAAGCATAAGTTTTAGTTTTAGCCCATTTCGCATTCCCCATACAGTCCGGACCTCGCCCCTTTTGATTACTATTTATTCCGGACCATGAGCTTGCGGGAGAACACTTCTATTCAGAAGAAGCAGTCAAAAATTGGCTTTGAAAGTTTTTCGATTCAAAACCAAAATCCTACTACGAAAGAGGAGTCCTCAAATTGCCTTTAAAATGGGCAGAAGTCGTCAATAATAATGGGAATTATTTGGAATGAATTTATGGTTTTATGTTGAATAAATTTTAGTTCAAAGTCCGGCAGTTTTCAATTCACCGACCCAATAGTAAAGACTCCTCGAAAAGGAAATTTTCTTTCTTTCAACCTTGTCCCTTAGTCAATAACTTTCAATTGTTAGGGTTCAAATTCAAAGGCAATTTAGCTCTATTCAAAAATACCGTTGTTATTGTTAGTGCTGTAGTTTAGATAACACAACTGAAACAAGCAGCGGTGGCACTTCACCGACTACAGCCAAACCCACTTCAAGCACCACCACCACCACAACAACAACAAAAAAACCCATCGCAAATCAACAATGAAACCACGAGAAACTCAAACTATGACTATATGGATACAACGGATGAATATGGGAATGTGATTATTGTAAAAGTGCCCAAAACAAAGACATCCACAACGACAACAACGGCTAAGCCTGGTTGAGTCTGTCAAAAAGCACTAATTGAGCTTTTTTTTAGCAAATTTCACCGAAACAACGAGTGCGTATGAAGGTTGGTAATTAAACTAATTGATCTACAAATCTACAAATCGATTCAGACGCAGGAACAACTTATTCAGACTATGAGTATGGAAATGTTGATGGAAATGGCACAAATGGGACTATATCAACAACAAAAACTACCACCGCAATTCCGAGTTTGTTTAGCTTTTGGCTTTAGTGACTTTAGCTTTTGGCTTTAGTGACTTTAGCTTTTGACTTTAGTGACTTTAGTGACTTTAGCTGACGATTCAGCTTCACCAAAATGCAACACCGCTGTGATCAACACTCAACATGCTTTAACGATAAAATTCGAAGAAGTTGAAAATGGTTTTTGGGAGAGCTGTAGCTGGGGAAAGTATATGTTCAGGTACAACTCAATCATTGAATTGTGAAACGGGCTACACTTTCCCGAATGGATCTACTTCAAGAACGTTCACTTGTGATTCCACAGGCAATTGGGCAAATTATGATCCTTCACAGTTGTGCCAAGATAGTAAAAATATTTATTTTAATAAAGTGTTCTTTAAAAGATGCTGGGAAAGCTATCGTATTCCGATTTTTTAAAAAAATAAAACACTCCTAATAATCAGTGGTCTTCGCCCGATTGTAATTGTAATCTTAACTTCAGGATTACGGTAGCTTTTCTAAGAGCAACTTTTAGAAAACATTCACTGGTACCAGTTGCAAGTATTCAGCTCAAAAAAAATTTAGGCATTGTTATTAACTCAACACTGCGATGCATTGATCCGTCCCCAATCCTTAACACTCTCAACTCCTTGCTTCCGAATGGAAAGCTAAACGGTTGGTTGACTTGGAAACAGAAAAGTTGATCACAAGGCTTTTAAGCTTTAAGGTTTAATGTAGAATTCAATTCTTTAAAGTTTAACACAGAATTCAGGCACTCATCCTATTGGTACGATGATCGTTCACTCGTGCAAACCCCAATATCTCTTCACATCGATCGGGCAACCCGTTCAGGTAGTTTTGCAAGAAAATATTTGTAAGAATTACTTTGTTTTTGTTTAAACATATTCCATTTATATTCTAAAGTCCCATTTCCATATCTCTCTAAATTTTGTTCCTTATCTCTTTAAATTTTGTTCCTTATCTCTCTAAATTTGGCTCCCTATCTCTCTAAATTTGGTTCCCTATCTGACTAAATTTGGTTCCCTATCTCTTTCAATTTTGTTCCTTATCTCTCTAAATACCAGCAACGAGGTGGAGCACAAGAGTGGCAGAGACGGTCAGAGAAAGGATGGCTAGAGTGCAACCACCACCAGCACAAGCAAGTCGAAGACTTCGAACCAGGAACAATCAAGATAGGAAACACTGGATGACACTAGCAAGGGATAGAGAAATGTGGAAGCAGGTTGTGATCTGCGCAAATAGGAACACCTGAATGCGAAGACAGATCAAAAAAAATCTCTTTAAATTTGGTTCCTTATCTCTCTAAATTTAGTTCCCTATCACTCTAAATTTGTTTTCTAAATTTCCGGGATCAAGCCTTTGTCCTTTAAAACGTTAACCAAGACTGCTAACCACTCAGCCAAAATTCGAGCACATTCTTGTCGTTTCTAGATTCAAATTGAGGATTAGGCTTTTAATTTTACGCTTTTGGGCTACTGTAAAGGAGCCAGTTATTTAAATTTCACAATCACAGATCTATGAATGTCTCCCCTCTGGCCAATGGACTGAAAATCTCCAAAATGAGCCCTGCACCTGTGAGTTTTAGATAAACTCTTACACTACATCAGATGAACTCTTCATTTAGACGTCTCTCGCTCATCTGAACTGTGAATGGAATAAAATTCATTGAAATTGTTTACACATTGAGATCACAACGAAATCACATAAAGCAGTAGGAATTGCAAAAATGAAATACAGTCGACTCTCGATTTAACGATTCTGAAACGTACCCCAAATTTCTTGCGTAGTTGCCCAACGATTGCGCTTGGCTGGACAGCTACGCAGAAATCCCAGGGCCTGTTTTAGAATTTCAAAATCGTTGTATCGAGAGGCGACTGTATCTTAGTTTGTTATAAACTATGTTTTTTATTAATCCAGTTTCTTGGTGACCATGGTTACAGGCATTTGTCCAGCAAAGCCCAACGCGATCACCGTAGCCGCCGAGAGACCACCGAAAATGAAAGCCATTCCCGACTGAAAATTTTGATTTTTATAATAAATAGTACGATAAATGGATATAAAATTTTGATCTTTATTGAATTTAAATTTTGAAAACATTCTCCTGAGACTAACCTGCGCCATGAAACCGAAATAGATGAGCGCCAGCAAGCGCGCGCAATCGAACAGCACACAGAATGGTCTAAAATTGGAATTATTTTAAGGCTTTTGAAAATAACCTTAATTATGATAAATATGATTATGATAAGTAATTAATATTATTAATTACTCACCTGTGATCAAAATAGTAACCGAATGCTTGAATCGATGCAAGAAGATAGGAGAAATAGGCAAAGAATGAAGGCCAATTGAGCGAAACTCGGACTTCATTGAAATAGATAGCTGAATATTATTTAATATGTAAAGAAAAATATGCAATTAATCTATTAAAAGCTACTCAACTCACCCAAGACTACGGTAACGGTGAATTGAACGGTTAGATAGAGCTTGAGTGGGGTGGAGAGGGGCTGATTGTAGGGAACTGGTACTTCGTTGATCTGGAATTTGGTTTTAAATTAATTTCAAGTGCTTTATGACCAGTAAAGTTTATTTTTGAATTTTTCAAATACTTTTATTCATTTCTACCTCGGGAATCCCCTCTGTATTATCCTCGACGCATTTCCAGAAGAAGAACCACCTCGTGCGAACACCCGGGAAATATCCTGGCGGCATGAAGACACATTTTAGCTAAATTTATAGATATTTTGATTTATTAATACTTATGAATTGTATTTGCTTTCTTTTATAAACTTACAGTACTGGATAATGAAATATCATATTTGAAAAACGATCGTCACTTTCGCGCGTCTGTAACTCCCTTTGTCTTTGAGTTTAAACTATTAGTGCTATACATTTTCTGAAAGCTCTTTTCAAGGGCTGCACAATGGTAATATTAATATTTAGAAATACGGTAAAGACAAGGGAGTTACAGACGCGAAAGTGACGATCTTTTTTCAAATATCATATTTCGTTGTCCAGTAGTGTAGTTTGAAAAACTAATTACTTATCTGGACACTTTTTAGTATGATTTTTACTATGTTATGGCTAGAATTACTATAATATTACAATAGATAATGAAAACTAATTAACAGTACTGGACAATGAAATATCATATATTTAAAAAACGATCGTCACTTTCGCGCGTCTGTAACTCCCTTGTCTTTGAGTTTAAACTATTAGTGTGATACATTTTCTGAAAGCTCTTTTCAAGGGCTACACAATGGTAATATTAATATTTAGAAATACGGTAAAGACAAGGGAGTTACAGACGCGCGAAAGTGACGATCTTTTTTCAAATATAATATTTCATTGTCCAGTAGTGTATATTTAAAACTTACCTTTTCCCAGAAACCGGGGAAAATCTCTTTTCCCTTCTCGTCTTTCATCTGTCCTTTGTCATAGCCAAGAGCTTTGAACTCGAAAGTCTAAATAGAGTTTGCTAGCTTTATCATAAGAAAATATTTACTTACCTGACACCAAAGTTGGTCAAAAGTCTCAACATTTGTCACCAAACCATACGCGATTTTCTCATCCGATCTCTCTGCCTCATAAGTACCGAAAAGACGATCCCAAATGATCAACGTTCCACCATAGTTTCTAAATAAAAATAAAAAATACTTTAAAGTTTAAATAGTCATTGATTCTTATAGATTTACAAATTTGTAAACAAAAATATAAAAAATGAGAAAAGATCACCTATCGATACAGTACGGGTTTCGACCATGATGAACTCGGTGACTGGATGGAGTGTTGAAGAACCATTCAAACGGACCCAAATAAGGAACCAGCTAAAAGACAATTAGTTTAACATTTACATAAAATAACATTTAACAAAACAAAAACATCTTTTTGAACAAAAACAAAAAAGAACAAACCTCCGTGTGCAACCAAAACTGATAGGCGACATTCATGTAACGATGGACGATGAAAATGTTTGGTGGAATGAAGAAAGATTGGAGGAGATCGAAGCCGAATGTGCCGAAATCCTAAGATCCTTTCCATGAATGAGATTTTGAGAACTTTTGCTCACTAGTTTAGTTTTGGCTTGCAAAAAAGCTTTTGTCTGATAATTTGGCTTTAGAATTGGATTGGCTACTCATCCTGCAATCTTCAGCTCTATTTTTAGTTCATTTCAATTCACTTGCAATGTGTTCCTTGCGAAAAATTACTCGAGTGAAATTTGCATGACTTTCACTTTTAACTTTCACTCGATTAATCGTTTTTTGATCGACTAACTACGAGTAATCCTCTTTACACGTCGAGTAAATTGAATATCTTTACATTTGAAGGGATTTCCCACCAAATCAGTTAAACGGCTGAATATCTTTAAAAAGAGTCGTATATAAATCGTTGCTCTTGACTTTTTTTGCAATAATTTTGGGGTAGGCTAGTTTCGGCAACTTTTTTTGCGCAACTAGGTCTTTTGCGCAAATTGCCATAACTTTCTTCTAAGTGGACCAATCTTTATGATTTTGGTGTCATTTTGTTGCACTTGTTGAGATCTATAAAATGAAACTAAAATCATAAAGATTGACCCACTTAGAAGAAAGTTATGGTGAGTTGCGCAAACGACCCAGTTGCGCAAATGACCCAGTCGCGCAAAAAAAGTTGCCGAAACTAGCCTGCCCCATAATTTTCGCTAAAAGTATGGCATGGGACAAATGCGACCTTTTTTTGCGCACCCGGCTCATTTACGCATCTTTTTTTATCTTTCGCGTTTTAAAAAAAGCTCTAAAAAGCTAATATGAACCAATTTCCATTCCAAAAGTTGTTTTTCTGGGTAATTTTAGGGTGTAGAATTGAAATTTTGACATATCAGAGCTCGTGGAAGCAAACGGACGGAGTTATGCATAGGGAAAAATCGATAAATTTTCTGTAATTTGACCTACCCGTTTTATCTTTCAAATTGATTCCACATGATTCCACATGCACTGATATGTCAAAATTTCAATTCTACACCCTAAAATTACCCAGCAAAACAACTTTTGGAATGGAAATTGGTTAATATTAGCTTTTTTTAGCTTTTTAGCTTTTTAGAGCTTTTTCTAAAAGCAAAAACAGATGCGCAAATGAGCCAGGTGCGCAAAAAAAACGTCGCATTTGTCCCACTCACCTAAAAGTACGTTAATTTTTCCCAAATGTGCGTGTAAAAACGCATTACTCGCCAGCAGGCTTGTCAGCGGAAAATTGAATATCTTTTGATTTTCAAAGCAAAACCAGCGAATGGGGCAGCTACGCACTGCGACGGAAAAAGCGCAAAGAGCCAGTGCGTAGCTGCCCCATTTGTTGACTGTTCTTTGAAAATTAAAAGATATTAAATAATTTTCCGCTTTTTTTTTCCGCCTGCAAGCCTGCTCGCAAGGAACACACTCTATTTGCAATCATGTACTCAAAGTTTTTAAACGACCGGGGGAAAACCCTGAAAAAGAAATTCGCTTGACGTCATACGTTTTGATAAATGCGGAATGTCACGAAAAGAAAAAGAAGAGACACCTTTTATCGCCTTGTCCATGCAATTTTGCAAAAAAAAATTGCTGATGTGTGAGTGACTAGATTGTGTTTTCCCAAAAAAAATCTCCTCATTTATAATAATATTTCAATAGGGCATAGTTTTCGGCGGATTTAGATAAAAGACGATTTTTTTGCTGAGTTTTGCACATATGATTGCCTAGAATATAGTTTCTATTTCGGAGAAAATGACTTTTTAGGGGAAAAGTGATAAGAGAAAATTGGAAACCCCCCTCCTGGAATACATCTAGTACACTTGAAAATTGGGGAAATAATATGTGAAATATGAAGTAAATGGTGGTCTGGTGGTCAATGATTTAAATGCAAGAGTATTGCTGATAATGAGCTTCATATCCTAAACGCCTTTCAATTGCAATAATAGCTTGAATTCGATATTTAATTGATTAATCAATCGATTCATTCTAATGACAAATTTCTATTTTGAACGCTATTCGATCCAAATTTTTGAATGGTCCAAATGGTTGCTAACCTGTCAAATTTTCTAAGTTAAAGTTTTTGCGAATAACGTATTTCTTCGAATAGAAGACCGGGTAAAGAGTATCATCGCGTACTCCTGCGTAGCAGTCCTTTTTAAAGCTTCTTTTCTGCATAAAAGCTTTCAATCAAGTTTCTATAGAGCTGGAAAATGGCTCAAAAATCTGTTAGCTCATGTGGTATTTTTGAGCCATTTTCCAGCTCTATAGAAACTTGATTGAAAGCTTTTATGTAGAAAAGAAATTTTAAAAAGGGCTGCTACGCAGGAGTACGCGATGATACTCTTTACGCGGTCTTCTATTCGAAGAAATACGGTAGTCGGCTTTTTTTGAAATTAGCATTAATTGAATAGTTTAGCTTATGATTTATACTAATTTTGGTGGGGTATATTCTCTGGTTCTCTGGTGAAAGTTAATCTTGGAGATCCACTCTCACCTGCCACATTCCCTGTCGCAATGCTGTCGACAAATTGTAGTACTCGGACGAGTGATGCATCTGGTGGAATGACCAGAAAACACCGAATTCTGAAAATCTTTCAAGTTCTTTTTTTTCTAAAAGTTAAACGGTGTACCGTGAATAGCTCTGTGCGCCAAATAATAGCAGAGATCTTGAGTGAAAAAGCAGATCATCCAGGTTGTTGAAGAGTGCGGATCGAGGTCGATGATACGGAAATGAGAGAAAAACCATGGATAGAGAGCTGCTGACATGTAGCGACCGCCGAATCTAGAAAGATTGAAATGGAAAAGTTGTGCTATTTCTGTTTTCAGTTTACTTCATCAGAAGTGAAAGAATGCCAGCATTGATTGATGTGATCGTGTCGTTGAAGGCATATTTTCGGTCATCCAAAAAGTAAAACTCGATGAGGACAAGTAAAAGCATCCACAGGTTTGACTAAATGACTTTTTGTTTGTTTAAAAACTTTGGAATTGGCAATGTTCATACTATGAGAGAAAGCTTTTGTTAATCTAGACAAACAACAATGGGGATGGGACAAAGGTGCACCTTTTGCGCACCCGACCAAAAGCGCACCTTTTTCGCTGGAAAAGGTGCGCTTTTGGTCGGGTGCAAAAAAAAGGTGCACCTTTGTCCCACCCCCAACAACAATTATTTCATTCCCGTATTTCATTGTGCTTAAGCCGTTTAAACCATTTTTAAGTTTTTTTTCAAAATTTCTTACATTTTCGAGTAAATTCGGCACTTCTTCGATACTTTTATAGTGCATCGTTTCATTTGGTGTGACGAGATAAAAAAGAGGTCGAAGATTCGTCGGATGCAAATCCGCCGCCAACCTTTCCAACACCCACATTTTTTGCTGGAAATTGTTTCATTTGATATTGGAAACAATTTGAATAGAAAAACACAAAAAAACGAATGTTAAACTCAAAAAAGCATCGGTAAAGGTATTAAGTAAATGCACGCTGTCGGAGTTCTAATATAGGGTGCGGCGAAAGTTCTATCCTTTTTAGAATTCTCTCTAAAAGCTTCCTGGTTGATTTTATTTCATAAGTGTTTATAGCCAAAAGATAGCCAATCTTTTACAGAATTTAAATCTTTTTACAGTTTTTAAATAACTTTTTTTAGATTTTGAGTTATCGCTATTCTATGCTCTTCGAAAGAATTATTTGTGGCACTTATTTTTGCGCTTTTTCTATTGTAAAAATTTGTATAAAAATTACAAATTTATTGAAAACTGATAAACAATTTTGTTTTGAATACTCCTAATCATCTAAGATTGACAGATTTTCTTATACTGGTAATACTAATACCGTATTCCCTCTAATAGTAGTGCGCACTACTATTTTTTTAACCCCCTCCTGGACCGCAATACTATTAGAGAGTGCACTACTATTAAAGAGTGCACCTCTATTAGAGAGAATACGGTAATTGGTGCGAACACAGAGCTCACGCAAATTGTGTTAACTCAAAATTTAAAGGAGCTATTTAAAGCTATTTAAAAAACGATAATAAAATTTAAATTCTGTGGAAAATTGCCTATCTTTTGACTATAAATACTTATGAAATAACAATCAGAGAGAATTCAATTAAAGAGAATTTAAAAAGGACAAAACTTTCGCCGCACCTTGTAGTTGTGAAAGACTCAAGTCAGTTTAGATCACCAGCGTTCAACCTGATATCTAGATGAATTGAAAGCCTCCAGGACTTTACAGAAAAAAAACCTTTTATGGGTTTAATGTGCACGGTTAAAACCCAATAAGAGTACCGATTGGAAAACCACCAATTTTCTGCAAGCTCTTATCAGGCAATCCCTCCTCCTTTTCCCCTTTACTACATACTATTTCGACCTTGTCCCGGAAAATCAAAAAAGCAAGGCTAAAGTCTTTTTTGTGAGTTTGTTATGATAACGTTCATCGATGAAAAGATCAAGAACAAAAACGTTTAAGGAATTAGGTCTGAAAAGGGTGATTATCAGGAAAATGAGAGGAGACTACGCAGATTTGATATAAATAGTGACGGGGTTTGATAAATGTTCGAATGACAGCAAAAACATGAAAACTACAGGGTGTAGGGAGCAGTTTGGGTGTCCGGGAAGGATTTGGAAAAGAGTTGGGCACACAGTACACCCCGCAAACAATTTTAGCGGTGCCTGTTTTTCGGGAGCCATCTGCTGCTCACCTGATTAGCAAAGCTATTGAAATTTCGAGGTTTGGAGAGAATTTTGCCAGCCAATTTTGCCAATTTTTCATTAAGAACTACAGAGTTGGGTTTTTGCTTGGACATTTCCCGTTATTTTCTTTTATGATAGATTTTGTTTATCTAGAAACGTAGCTACTAATGTAGACTGTGCTATTGTAACTAAAGTGTTTTATAAAAGATACTTTTATTATGGCTAAACTATCATACTTTGGCTACAAGTTAAAAACTATCGTAAAAACTAAAAACTCTAGAGGCAATTTCAAACATGACCAAAGCAGGCCAGGGCAGAACCAGGGCCCGGGTCCACCAACCACTAAATTTAGCAAAACCCTCGAGTTTTGCTAAATTTAACAAACTTCTGTTTTGCTAAATTCAACGGGTCCATCAACGCATTTAGCGAGTTGTAATTTAGCAAAATTTTACTAAATATAGCAGTGTTTAGCAGTGCCGCCAGCTCCGAAAAACACGAAAAAAGCCCGGCTCCGAACAAAGATATCAAAAAAACTAATCACAGATTCGAACTCCGACATACTCTGGCTACAAAAGAAGCCAAAATTTAGCCAATTTTGAGCACATAAACTTATCTTAGTTTTATATGGCGACATCAGAATATTCAGTCTACAAGAAACAGAACTCAATTTGCTAAATTTAGCAAAATTGTTTTGGTATTTAGCACTAAGCATTTAGCATTTAGCAAAGTTGGTAAATCCTAAATTGGTAGATCGATTTCGATCGATTTTGCAAAATTGGTAAATGCTAAACTGCTAGGTCCGTTTAGCAAAATAGCTAGATGGTAAATTGGTAAATTCTAGAGGGGAAATGGCAAATAGTTTGGTGAATCCAGGCCCAGGTCTGGTCTTGCCTGCCTGGCCTCGTTGAAACAGCTTTGCTCGGTTGCCTTCGTCTGTTAATTCTGTTAAAGCTTTTTTGCCGAGTGCTCATGGACAATCCTAAAACTAAAACTTATCTATGTACTCATAGATACAGAACGCCTTATAACATTTTCAATGGAAACAGCACAAGAACTTGAAAGACAATGAAATTCGCTACTGGAAGACGGGCCTTGGAACCGCCAACTGCTACAATTTATATCTGATGTGTTCTTTTTTTAGCGGTTGCCGATCACTGATAAGACGAATAGAAGAGAGTGTAGTTGGTCGCTCGATGCTCGATCACTCACGAAAATTCCGAGGATCGGCTCATTGGAACTGAAGGGAAACGGGGCAAAATACACAAAACACACCGCCAATTACGAATGGGGCATTTCTGTAGCTTTGTAGTGTTTCTTCATAGACCAAGTTCGCCAATGAGGTTCAAGTTTTTAGGACATCTACGAATGAATCTAACAAACAGAACCCGTTTTCGCCCAAAAAAGTACGTTACTCAATTTCGCACGCAAATAGACCTTGCGCTAAACTTGTGCTATTTCTATGCACTCTATGTGAAATTCATGCTTGACAACCGCAAACATTAGCATAAATTAAGAAGTTTAGCATAAATCCCATCGAAATTTATGATTTACAGGGTTCTTTTGCTATCTAAAAACGTTTTTGACAGAATAAACTTGGTATGTAAAGTAACAGTAGTAGTTAAGGCTGTAATGCACCCTTCGACACCACATTTGCTAGTTCTTTGTCAATTCATCCGCGTTTTCCATATTGTTTTTTATAAAGTTCATCTTGCTGTCCAGAATTGTTGCCTACAAGCGCTTTCTTTGCACACCCATTCTCTGAGCTTTCTTTTCATTGGGAAAACTCCTCTGCCACGCACAGCCAATGTTCTTTATTTGTGTCTTTCTAACAGCAAAAAACCCAAAACCATATTTTCACTTCAGGATTACTTGCAATTGCTGTGAAGTGGATGCGCCAAACTTTGATCTATGGACGGACTTAAAGCCGAGAAGATTGCCCTGGCAAAGAAAAAGGTAATTGAGGTTTTTGAGTAAATTTATGGTTTTAACAATTTGTTTATAACTTTGTTTTTAGTTGAAAGAATTCGAGCTTCGACGAAATCGAGAAAACGGTTTTTCGCCAACTCCATCGGGAACCTCTTCCACCTACAATGATCAAGTATTTATGGCAAATTAACTTTATATTTTGTTCGATAGCTTGGATCGGCGCCACCTTCTTTTCAATCGGATCGAAATGGCAGAACATCGGTAACAAGCAATCATTCTGGTATAATGTTTCTTTAAAGTTTTATTAAAAATTTCTATAGGAAACGTGGAGACTCTCGATGCAGGTCCTGTAGCTCATTTTGAGGGAAGAAATGGTATTCACAATTCGGATACAATAATTTCTGTAAGGGCTTGGTTATTTTCAAGATGGTTCTTTCTGATTTAGATTCCGTCAATTCTTCCGACTGCTTGTCCATCTTCTTCAAATGTATTTTAGTTATGAATTTAGAAACAATTTGATCCAACATTTTAGCTCGAACTAGAGAATTTGCGTGTCCAACTACAAGATCGTGATCAAGCCCTGCAAAGTTTGAACAAGCAATTGGAAGAACTGGTAAAGTAAAGAGTACCATAAATATTCACGGTCATTTTAGAATGGATACTACGGTCAACTACATGCAGCATACACTGAATTGAGCGCAAAAAATGTGAACATATCAGGTCCCGGGGATCAAATCGCACAACTTCAAGCGGTAAATTCCTTCTTTTAACGGTATTATGTGTTTTAGGCACTTTCTGGTCTTGTTGCTGAGAAAACTGGTCTTCAAGCAGAGCTACGGAATGCAAAAGAAGAGCTTGAGTTTTTGAAACACGAGTTAGATCGAATAAACGTAATTCATCAAAGCAATCATGTTGGTTAAAACAAGCTTTAGGCTACATCTTCAAATGAAAAGGATAGAAATGTCAACGTTGAACGGGAGTTGAACACTTTGAGGCGGGAGCTTGACGATAAAAATAGGCTTCTTGAAAAAAGGTGCATCAATTTTTTTTCATTAACTTTATGCTTTTTTATAGATTGGAAGAACTGGAGAGCGAGAGAAGGGAATCGGCACGAATTCAAACTCAAATGTTGACTCTGCAACATGATCGAAACGAGGCTCAAGTAACGCTTTTTTTTCTTGTGCCATAACATTTCTATTCAGGTTCGATTGAAGAACATCTATCGAGATAAAGAAGCTATGGAAAATGAATTGAAGGTAGATTCACAAAGCTGTTCTTTAGTTTTTATCAATTTAGAATTTGCGAAAAGAATGTCAGATGAAAGACCTTCATATAATGCAATTATCATCGCACAATTCACAAAGAGACCTTACATCTCCGATAGCTAACGAAGAATGGATAAATCTACAAGGTTACGAGGTTCATAGCTTCTAAAAGACATCTGGTTTCAGCTGAATGTGAGAAATTTCGTCATGACGTAGAGAGGCTTTCTGCAGAGCTTGAAGAAGCTAAGAGAGAAGTCAATGAATCTCGGACACAATACAATGAATATGGAACATACATGAACGAAAATATTGCTAGATTAAACAAGGAAGTAAGTGTTTATATTGAATTTAAAAAATGAAACTGCTTTCAGCTTGATGAATCTTCATTGGCGAAACATACTCTGGAGACGCGCTTAAATGAGGTGGAAAACCAGCTCGAATTGGCACAACAGGAAAAAGCTGAGAATCGGAAGAAACTCGATAGCCAGAGAGCTTCCCCAAGTTTACAGGTAAAATAGAGGTTCTGTACAAGCAATAAAAATTTTCAGGGTTCATCTCAAAATCTAATTCCAAGTGATACCGAGGTTTTAAAGAAGATTGATGATGCGGTACGCCGTGTCACCACTCATTGGGAACAACTCTTAGAGCAAGCGAGAAAAGAATATGAAGATGGGAACAAAGAAAAGGTCTGTGCGGCAGAAAAAAGTAGTTTGGAGCGTTTTAGCCATCCACTAAATTAGGCATTATCATTTCATCATATTTAGGATCGGCTACTATTTGAGCGAGAAGCATCAATAGCTGAGTTACAACTGAAACTGCGGCTATCTGCAGAAAATGAAAAAGTTTATGGAGATGCTTCAACTGTAATTTTCATCTCAATTTTATTTTTACGTTTATTGTATTAGGGGCTACTTTCACTTTCGGAGCAACTACAAGCAGAAAAAGCCACAGTGTCACGCGCTGTCGCCCAGAATAGAGAGTTGAAAGAACAGCTAATTACAACAGAAGGCATGCAATATTTCCGTTTGTTGTTTTAATTTTTGTTTCTAGATCGTTTGATTCAATTAACAGGAGAGAAATGTGCAACAGAACTCTCTCGTCAAACCGCGGAACATCAAGTTAAAGAGTTGCAAAAACAATTGGAACAGGTTGCTATTAATGCATTCGCCTTTTAGAAATTTCTTTTAGACGTCTTCATCTCGTTCACACTCTTTCTCCCCACAAGCACAAGAAGGCGATAACAATGCATCAGCTGTTGTTGCACAACCGGAACCTCCTCTTGGTAAAGATCCTTATGCGCAGCGGAACCACGTGATGCACGATGATGAGGTAGATAAGGTTTATCGGGAACAGTGTTAGCATAGAATTTAGGTTTCTATTGCCTCTGAAGCTATAAACAACGATAGCCAAGATTTGAAAAATGAATTGGACGAGACGAGAAGACAATTGGATGAGGTTTTATTTTGCTCTTATGTGAAGTATGTTTTGAAATTTTAGGTTAGAGCTGAGTTGCGCCGATCACATACACAAAATGAACAGATGAATCAAATCATGCGCCAGGTAAGCATTGTTCTTTATTTACGATTAGGTAAGAACACATGCTTTTTATTTGACTCATTAAGTTCGATTTAAAGACATTTTTTTAGAACGCTGAAGATGAGAATCAAAATAGCATTCTTGTGGAATTGGGACAAGCGATTTCTCGTGTAAATGCACTCGCTCACGAGAACGAGACTTTGAGGTAAAAAAAAGTCAATGCTAATTAAAAATTTTTTAGGGAACAAGTTGAAAGCCTCCGCTTCTCGCAAAACGAGCAGAAAAACCAACAATCCTCAAGTTCATCATCCAGGTTTGTTTCGGGTTGAAGCTGAAGTTGAGTCGCTTTGTTTTAGTTTTCTACCTCAAGAGGTTAACAATCTGGAGCTAGAAGCTGCTACAACAATGATACATCAGCTCCGTCAAAATAATGAAGATCTATCGTATGTGTTTTAAGACTTCTTTTAAGCAAAAGGTGTTTTATAGAGAAAAGGTGGATCATCTTACTCGTCTTTTAACGGAAGCTCATTCTCATCTCGAAAGCACCCGAATAGAAGAACGAACAAATTCTCAACAGGTAAAAGTTAAAATTGATTGCGCTATTATTTCCTTTAGCGCGATGTACCACCAATTTCTCCACTACACGAAAAGGTAAAGGTTTTTAATGGATATTTTCATACCTTTCATTTAGCTAACTTTGAACAATACACAGGAAGTTGGCTCTATGGAATGGGCAAGAATTGAACTTGAAAAGGTTAGTCTAAGAAAGGTATCTGATTAAAATTAAAATTTAGCGCTTTGCGGAATCAATGCGGCGTTTAGCTGAAATGCAAGAACAGTGTGATAGAGTCGGTAAGAGTTACTTTTAGAATTGAATTAAATATCTGTTTTAGAACATATAAACCAACAGCTTCAATTGGAGAATGAAACTATTGCCGACCATGTTGTACTGTATCAACATCAGGTTTAAACATTTCGACATCGTTACATGTTAGATTTAAGCGACGCTTGATTCGTGAACGTCTTCGTCTGAAAGACGAACAAATGGCGGCCCTTGAGAAGGAGCGTGAACGCGTTGTGGCTAGGTATGTTTATCAAAGCTCTTTAAATATGGACTGTCAAAACCATTGTTATCATTTTAGATGTAATGAACTACAGCAAGCACTTATGCATGTCTTGGGCAATGATCGGAATGAGGTAGTTTTATTAATTGTTTTTAGATGATCTTATATTTAGGTACCGGCGTTCCGTCCCCGCTTATACAGCCATTCAACGGTGGACGAATTCAGTGGAGATGAAGAGTGCATTGTTGACAGTGCAAAAGAGGTTTTTATGTTGTCAGGCTGCTTACAATAATGTTAGTTTAGAATTCTCAATCCCTTCCGCCAAATGTTCATCATTCACCAGAAACCAATGGTCAAAAAGAAATTCGGTATAATTTTCTAGATTTACTTGTATTTACCACTTTATCGGGAAACCAAATCAAAAGTAATCGCACAATCTTTAAGATCAACTGAAGAGAATTCACCACCGACTGATTGGACAAATCGCGAAGATGCGGTGAAGAAAATCATGGACATCATCGACGATATAAAGGTTTGAGCTAGTAACTTTACGAAAGTTACATAAATTTTAGAAACCGTCCATGCCTTTGTCTTCAGTTAAACTGCAGTGTAAACAGTGTATCGGACCCGTTCTACATCTTTAGCAAGAGTTACATTTTTGCACTACAAAATTGCATAACTTTTCACAATAGTCTAGTTTGTTCTTTATTGGGTTTATTTATTGTGATTTGCGCTAGTCGCTCTACACTCCATTGGATTTTGTATGTGATAGAGTTTCTTCTAACTTGTCTATACAGGTGCACGTGTGCCTAAATCTTTTTGTTACCTGTTTTGTGCTTGTATATCCTGCATTATTATCCTTTTTTGCCAAATGATTTTAACAAAAGTGTTTTTATTTGTTGCCTTTTTTGAAGCATGGTTTGATTAATTTATTTCTGAAATAAACTTTACGAAAATGATAAACTTGCATTGGTTGTGGTTTCAAAGTGATAATTCAAAAAATCATTGTTAGATCCCAATTGGGTGGAGAGGAATTTCTTTGTTAAAAATACCTTTTAAAATGCACATTCATTTAGCTTTTCTTTTCGAAAATTGCACGAGTTTTGGTTTATAATTTAGTGAATGAGCGAAGAAGAATCGTTAGAAGTTTTATTAGCTGAACGGATTAACGCTGCAAAGGATCTTTTCTCGAAGCTACACGGTAAGAAATTAATTTTATCTTTTATTCAATACTCTAATTTAGAGGATCAGTATGCCAAGATACTGGGGATTGGGAAATTTCGCAATCGACTAGCCAGCGAGCTTCGTTTTCTTGAAGGAGTGAGTATAGAATTTTATTTTTAATCAACACCTTATTACAGACTTTAGATTTCTGAGGGTAAAACCCAATTACTACGGAAATACATCGATACGTCAAATGTTACACATTTTGAGAATATTTTCAATCAGATTACGAAGTAAGTTGCTGGAAATTTCTTTTTGTTGTTAAATTTGTTTAGACTGAACAAAGTTAAAGCCATTTTGCACACTTTCACCCTCGTGGATAAAGAAAATGGAGAGTGAGTAAACAGTTGATTTAAAGAGTCGATCTGTAAACTTTAGAACCTTAAAACATACAGCTGATTTAGTTGCAGACGGAGGTGAACAATGGGTGAAGGTACAAAAATATGTTTTTCTTATTTAAATCGGTCGATTTAGGTGGTTTCCCGAAGCGCTAAAGGTGTAGCTATGGACTGGTTGACGGGAAATGATCGAAACATTTTTGATCAGGCATCAGCTTACCTTCAAGTTGTGCCTAATTTATTTCGTTGCAAATTTTTTTAGACAGCTATTCTTTTTCCGACTGGATTTGTTGTACCAAAGATCACATTTTTCTTTATGGGTGGTGTACCGGATAAAATGGCCGAAAGGCTACGCAGAATGGGAATTCGAGTTCATGGAGAAGAGGTTGTTAGATAAAATTAGTTCTCATACCGTTTTCAGGTTTTACTTGACGATCTAGTGAAAGTTCCTAGCGACTTGCTAGAGGCTCTCGAAGAGAAAGAAGATCTTAGAATACCAATAAATTCCGACGATAATGGTGAATCATTTTATTTGCCAAATAGTTGAATCTAATTCATTTAGAGTTACCGCCAGATGCTCCAATTAATTTGGATGTTAGCACTGTATTTGTTTTGGTGTCTAATCTCACACATGAAGGAGGAACGGAACACAAGTAAGATTAGATACGATTTGGATAATATTATAATTTAGCTTTCAAAGCAAGTTGCTACGCGAGCAAGCCGTCTGGGAGAAGAGTGCTCCGGAGAAAGAAAAGTTGCTACACCAAATTGAGGGTATCTTTGAATTGAAGTTAACATGAAATTGCAGTTTTTAGGTCATCGATGGATTATTTGTCAAACTGCATATGAAAGTGTTGTCAATATCGTATCTACAGTAGCCGGACCAGCAGAAAAAGTGTTTTCGAATTTTAGCTTTGAACGATATTTTTAGAAACGGGTAGAAGAGTTACTTAAAAACGTTGAAGTTGTGGAAGATAAACTGACTGAACGATCAGCTTCACTGCCCGATAGTGAGCGGATTAGCGCACGGAGCAGGGTAATATTTTTCTGTTTAGATATATCAAACTAGCATTTTAGGTAATTTTCGGGTCTGGTGATTACTACCGAGCTGTGACGACAACCGCTAATAAGCATTTTGTCTCATCTGCTTATCACCAGGTAATTTCAAAAGTTGACATTCATGTTATGAATTTAAATTTTCAAGTTGTTCAAAATCAAAATTTAAATAATTTAGGGTGTATGCTTCAATGTACTGGTACACGAACCACGAGCACTTAGCGAGCAAAAAGAGGATGTTGGTATTAAAAAGTAGTCTAATCACTTTACTTATTGTTGATCATACGGGTTCTATTCTATTATTGTTTTCAATTCCTGTGTTACCGATTTTTATGTGTTCATTTAAAATTGCAATAAACGGGCTATTTGGTTGAGTAATGCTTTTTATATTGTGTTTGAAACAGCAATACTTAATTAACTTTCTTCTTCTACTAAAAGTGCAATCAGAGGTTTAGGATGAGTGCCGATTCGGTCCCGAAATATTTGCTCCGGAAGATCGACTGCAATCAGCAAGCTGTTAGGAATGTCAAATATAATGGTTTCTTTTTTCTAGACCTTTACATCATTTTTCCTTTTCAGTCGATGGCAATTATGTATTAACCTGCGGCTCCGACAAAACGATAAAGCTCTGGAATCCAAACACGGGTGCTCATGTTAGCACATTTATGGGTGTGGGCAACGAGGTTTTATTTTTCAAAGCATTTTTAAATTGATGACCTAGATATTAGACATGGCTTCTTCTTCGGACAACTCGCAACTTGCTGCTGGTGGTGAGTGGCAGATAAAACTTGCGTAAATTATTTATAAAATTATAGGACTTGATAAATGTGTCACGGTTATTGATGTGGAGACCGGGAAAACGGTTAGAAAATATCGAAATCATGCCGGTGTGTTGTTTAACGATTACTCTGTAATGTGTCTGCTTCTAGCCAAAGTTAACGTTGTCTGTTATAATGAAGAATCGAACTGTCTCTTGTCTGGGTCGATGGATACAACTGTTCACGTTTATGATGTGAGAACCAAAAATGAAAAAGCTATTCAGGTAGTTTTTCTAAGGCTAACTTTTATAGATTTTAATTCAGATTTTTAATGAAGCAACTGATGCGATACTTTCGATAGATGTAAATGGACACGATATCGTGGTTGGATCAGCTGATGGTCACTACAGACATTATAGCGTGCGTGATGGAGTGGTAAGCTTCAAAAATTCCAATATTTGATTCAATCTAGTTTTCATGTATCATCTATAGTAACGTAACTTTTTATATTTTTTAGGTAAATGAAGATTTTCTTGGCGAATCGGTGACGTCGGTTTCGTTTACCCCAGATGGAAATTGCATACTTGCTTCCACTTTGGATAGCACATTGAGACTGATGGACAAATCAAACGGAAAAATGCTCGCACAGTGAGTTTTGATCAGTATCATCGATATTAAACCATACGTTAAGATATAAGGGTCATCAAAATCGCGACTTTATGATTCGATCTTGTATTCTTGCCTCGATCACCGAAGTTGCAACAGGGAGCGAAGATGGAAACGTTCATGTTTACAAGTACTTTACTAAAACCAAATAGATGAAACGTGTTTTTCTAGTTTAATCGATCAAGCATCGTTAGTACGTCTACCCCACAAAAGCCCTGTTGTGCATACAGTAGCTGCTCATCCAAAGAAACAGGAGCTGGTTTGTCCTAAGGAAGTCTTTTTGCAAATTCATTCCTTTTAGGTATCAGCTTGTGCAAGCCTCATCTATGTATGGACCAATCAAAAGGAGATTGAAGAAGAATGATCAAGTTTTATTATCACGTGCGTATTTATTAATTATCAATGTTAAATAAATTTCTTCACAGCCATCACATTATATCAAAACATTTTTGCTAATATAAATATTTACCACATGTGACCCAAACCTCATTTCTAATTTTACTTTTAGGCGATGATTTATGTTGTCGTTGGTGGCGGCGTTGCAGGAGTCTCTTGTGTTAGATGTCTACGGCAAAATTTATCACAGGAAGATGAGGTTTCAGCATATTGACACTTAAAAGTTTGCTGTAAAATAGTAGGATTGGAAATGGAAACATATCACTTAAATTTGATGATGAGCATTTCTTTAGGTGTACTTGATCACAGCAGGACGTCATGTAAAAAGCATTCACAATTGGATTAAGGTTTGCTTTTTCCATTTTTTTCTGATTTTATTAATGAACAAATTCCTTAGAAATAGTTTTTAGGTCGGACAGTTCACCGAACTGTTTGATGTGAAAGAAGAGGGACTTTCGTTTGCCGGTGAAGGTGTGCACGTAATTTCAGCAAGTGTCACATCTTGGGATTACAAAAACAAAGTTTGGCTTTTATTTTATTCAAAGTTTATGATTAATATTTTAGAGTCTCTATTTTTCCAATGGTAAGAAATTAGCGTTTGATCGACTTGTGATTGCAACTGGAGCTAGGCCAAAGGTTTTTCACTACTTGTGGTTGAATGTCATTTCATATTGTTCTAGAATCCGTATCCACATGTTTCTCGAGTGTTGACTCTTCGTGACACCGAAACGGCTCGCCATTTGGAAGAAAGATTGGCAGGGGCTCGAAAAGTGGCAATCATTGGAAATGGAGGCATCGCCACTGAATTGGTGTAATTTTTAACACTTTCGATTATATGGCTTGATATTAGGCTGGGTAAGCTAAAGAAAAGAGCAAAGAGATTTTAGCTATGAACTACGGAAAGTCGAGATTTTCTGGTGCATTCGAGAAGAACACATTTCCGCCGTTTATTTCGATGTGGCGACGGCAAAGTTTCTGGAAGACCGAGCGAAAGTTGGACGTAAAGGAGCTGAAAAGAACCAAGAGGCTTGGCGTTTGAAATGCAAAACAAAACTTTTCTTTTCTTAGCCTGTGAAGCGCATGAAGTATGCGGATGCTGGAGAAGGGTCCTCAACAAATTGTGACACGACCACCGGATGTGCTCTGGGGCCTGATTGGAGTACTGTTGTCAAACTCGAAGGAGGATCTGAAGTGAGTCTGTTAATATTGGCAGTGAGCTAGATTTTTTAGGGTCATAATGTGCATGTTATCCCGAAAGTGGAAGTTGTCTCTTTGGTCGAGAAAACGGATTCGTTAAACCTGCATTTATCAAATGGAACTACTCTAGAGGTGATGCAAAATAGATTTAAAAATTTTTTTTATTATTTAGGTCGAAATCGTAATTTGGGCAACGGGAGTAGTGCCGAATAGCGAAGTTTGGAGGAGAGATTGTCCTGAGGTAAGTGTAAGATTGTCCAGATAATGAGGTTTAAAAGAACTAGTTTTACTGTTCCCTTTTAGTTAAAACTTGCCGCCGATAATGGTATTTGCGTTGATGAAACCATGCGCACTTCAATCGGCGATGTATGGGCATGTGGTGATGTTTGTACGGTTGAATGGCCAACGAATGCCTACTGGACTCAAGTAAGTTCTCGAATGAACTTTTTAATAACTTTTTAACTTTTTAATCGTAAATGCTTTTTTTAATAGTTGTAACTATATGAGCATCGATCGATTATTGTTTAGATGCGTACATGGACTCAAGCTCGACAAATGGGAGATTATACCGCACGACGAGTTCTCAATTTGTGCGATTCCCTTGATTTTTGTTTTGAAATGTTTGCTCATTGTACTACATTTTATGGATACAAAGTAAGACTATAACGTAGTCAAAAATCAATTTCTTGCAGATTGTTCTTCTTGGCGATTTTAAAGCGACTCATCAACCCGATGGCTGGTACATAATAGAAAGGCATTTTTTTGACGTGTAAAGTTCTATCTCTTGTAATAGAATCATTGACGATTTTCAATTGGCTCGTTGTGTAATGGAGTCTCATCGGGTGCGTGGTGCTGTTCTTATCGGGGAAACGGATCTCGAAGAGGTGTGCAACTTATTAGAAATTCATATTTTTTGTTTCTAGGTGCTCGAAAATTTGATATTGAACGGCACAGATATGACTGGTCTGGAAGAAGAGTTTCTCGATCCGGACGTTCATCTCGAGGACTACTTTGATTGACTTGTTATAAAGTTTTTGGATTGCGTTGTTCTTTTATCAAATAACCTGTTAAGAATAATTTATTTGCAACTATGTGAAACGGTTTAAAGTTTAGCTTTAAGCATTTTTGGGTCAAGCAAAGTGCGGAGCTTCATTGCTTTGGCGATGTTCCCCTTCAATTTCATTTTTCCAGACATAAAAGCCTGCAAAGTTGGATTTTTCTGAGATTTGATAGAATTCTGATACCTGATCTGGTTTGAGAGCGCCAGAGGCAATCTGCATAAAGGCATCATCTGAAATGGTGACTGAGATCTCGGTTGGACGTTCACTGAAATAGGGAATTCTTTTTCGTTAACTTATCTCAAGTTGCAATGGTATTTAAAAACTTCAAAACCCACTCATTTCCGACGTACGGTGGTGAGGCTTTTGTGTCAATAAACCATTTTTTTGTTGTCCCATTGCCGGTGATCACAAGACCGAATGAAGTGGCAACTTTATCAACCAAATCCTTCTCCTGAAAATATTTACATCTGATTAAGAAATTGTAAGGTTCTTTAAACGAACCGTATTTATTCTCTCCTTGATCTCGTCGAAAATCACATCACTTTTCAGCGAGGGTCCATTTGAGACTGTCTAGAAACATATATGAGATTCTCTTTGCCATTGATTTTTGCGTACCTTGGCTGGTCCATGAGATCCACCATCGGCCAATTTATACAATGCAACCACACCGGCTCCTCCGATACCTGGGAAACGTTTTTGAGTTTTTCTCGCCTAATTTTTGCTACCGATGTTATGTTGCATCGCGTATTTTGTGTTTGGCACTTGTCGTTTTCCACAGCGTCCCCGTAGTTGATTGGACAATTCGACGACCTGGGCGACTCCTGAAATTTTTTCTTTTTAGACTTTCTAACTGAAAAGAATGAGTTTAGAAGTTTTCTTCATTTTTTTTTACAGTAAAATATGTAGAGTTGGAAGTTTCATCAAATCTGTTGAACAAACCGGTTGCCCCGATGGGATGTCCCTTGGATATGAGACCGCCACTTGGGTTGATCACCCATTTTCCTCCGTAAGTGTTGTCTCCTCGATCGATCAACTCACCAGCTTTACCTGGAAAATCAGTGTGTTAAGGAAAATCAGTGTGTTAAACACACCGATTGGGCAAAGCCCCAGCGCTTCATAGGTGATCAACTCGTTCGGAGCAAAACAGTCGTGCAACTCGATCACCTAAAGTTAAAAAGTTCATTATCTTTTGATCATAAAAGATCATAAAAGAGATCAGAGATCGTTGATCATTGATAAAAGAGATCAGAGATCATAAAAGAGAGTATTGTCTTTTCCTTGTCCTCTCATACCTGAACATCATTCGGGGTAACACCAGTCTCTTTGTACAATTCTTGAGAAATTTTCTGAATCATGTCAAAGCCGATCATCTTGATGTTCGAGTTGTCGGCGAACACTGACGGCAAATCGGTGCCAAGTTTGAAGCCTAGAATTTTGAGAGGTATTCGTGTTTTGTATTACCAAAACTTACCAACGATTTCGACGGCTTGCGGGCGCAGATGTGGATGGGCTTGGAGGTAGCGCTCCGAGCAGAGAACCGCTGCCGCTGAACCATCAGAGGTTGGACTAAAAAAAGACGCTTTTCAGCTTTACCTTATCAAATATTTTTCTAATTGATAGAGATTTTCAATAAGAGCTAGCTTACATAGAACATGAATGGGAATAGAAATAGAATGGGAATGGGAATAGAAATAAGGGAATAGAAATAAGAAATAGAAATAAGGGAATAGAAATAAGTTGATCCAGATTTTAAACTTTGAACCAGGCCGATCTTGCCGTATTTCCGTAATAGGGCATTTTCAAAGCCAAGACTTTAAAATGTACTTTCTGGACTTGAAATGTTGTCTAGATTAGCTGGATTACGGTATTTAGTCTAGGTTGGGTATTCAGTCTAGATTAGCTCGATTACGGCCTTTCGTCTAGATTGGGTACTCTTAACTTTTAAAATTTAACTTTCAAAAGACAAAACTCAAATTCTAACCACTGATTGAGGATTTTCTGATTTTCTGTTAAAGGATTAATTGTGATAAAGGATTTTCCGATTTTCTGATAAAGGATTTTCCTCTTACCTGCATTCTAAAAGACCCATAAAGTCGTAGATTTTCCTCGCGTTCATCACTTGATCAAACGAGAATTCCTTAGTGAATTGGGATTTTCTAAACATTTTACATAGAAAATTTTCCTCGTTTCCCATTAAACGCACGGATTGTTGACAGAGTGCAAATGGTTCTTGTAGGCGATTTTTGCGAAATGCTCGCGCTTGGTGCCTAAAATTGAAATTCTAAGAATAAAACAATGAAATCTTGTACCATATTTCTCCATGTGTTCTTTGCCGGCATTTCCGAACATTTGAGCAGTGATCGGTGCGGGGAAAAGACCGTAAGTGTCGGCCATCAACTGAATGAAGATTCCTTTTTTTGGAGAGTTCGATTTAAAACAGTTAAACAGTTGATATAGAATGTTATTTTGAAAAATTATCATGATAAACCCATTAGAATAGAAATTGGGATGGTTTAGAATAGATAGAATGGTAGATAGAATTGAAAACTTGTACCCAGAGTTCTCAGGGACGAGGGAGAATTCGAATCCGAGTTTGATTTTTCTACAATATCCTGCGCTTAGAATTTTACAGTTGGTTTTTACAGTATTCTCTTCTACAGTACTGTAGAAGAGAATACTGTAAAAGCCAACCTCCTGGGTTCACCAAAAATGCTTAAATCCTAATATGTAAGTAAAGTTAAAACACTCAAAAAGGCGCATAAGTAAACTGATTTCTTTTTTCGATGCTCACCTGGATGTGATGATCAACGGGAAGTGCTCGATCATCGAGCTTTCCGCCCATATTCTCCAACGAGCCCGAGGCCATTTTCTTAAAATATCTTCATCAAAACCGCACACCAACATCTTTTTGTTTTCTTGTTTCTTGTTTCTGACACTAATTTTTAGTTTTCACGGAGATGTTTTAGAGCCCGAAGAAGATATTTTATCTTCTTCGGGCTCTAAAACATCTACGTGAAATGTTGGGGCTGAACGAAGAGTGGCCAGTGAAACAACAAATCGACTTCATGATAGTTTCACACAGCCTCGCTGAATCAGCTTTTCTACTCACCGAGGCGATGTTCATCGATGGATACTTCTCGCAGCTCGTCAATGAGGGTATATGTTTTAAGTGTTTTAAATTAATTCGCCTAATTCTAGATGAATATTTTTGGACAATACTCGATGGACAGCGAGAGCGAGAAGCTAGAAGGCGAGACGGAGCGAGAAGGCTCTCTTGGATCTCGTCGACAATGTTTACATGGATTTCCTTCAAGGCTAGTCTCGTCTTTTCAAAAACGATATGTTGCTTTTAGGAAAGATGTTGAGGCTCGATTCGTTGAAGAACATTCATAAGATAGCGTCCTCTTTCACTGATCGACTCGAAGTTGATGTTACTACAAGCCATCGGCGACGCAAAACAAAAAGCAAACTCAAAGTGTGCAAAGTCGATGGATGCGCGGAGGTTTTCGACTATAATATTCAATTGTAGGTTTTTTTTCATCTTCATTCTGTTTTTATCTTTGTTTTTGGTATCGACAGTTTTGGATATCAAAGAGTATTCGGTTTGGAAATGAGCACAAGTCGAAGAAACAGGCCGCGGTGAGCGGACAAAGAAATAACGGTACTTGTGGGGTTGGGGGAACTTTTTTTTCTTCAAAAGTGCTTTTTCTAGGGCGATTTTTTTGCGTAGATTACGAATTTCATAGTGGAAACTTGGGGAAATGCGTTTTAGACCGACTTTCGGGGATCCGAAGTCGCCGCCTCTACAGTGTATTTCACTACGAGCTTGTATAAGAAGAGCCCATCAAACTAGGGAACTGTTTCAACTTACCACCGATTTTCGAAACCGAACCTCTCCTTTCTGAAGGGTATAAATAAAGCTTCGAAAATTTCTATACTTTCTAAAATTTATTCAAAAAGTCGATATTGCTCTAAAAGCGTCGGAATAAGCGATTTTTGATCGAAATTTTTGTCTCGCGAGGTTTTCGAGATCTAGAAATCGATTGGCGCAAACCGTTTTTCTTGAAAATGCAATTTTTAAGCGAGTTATGCCATTGGGTCATTTAAGTTGAAAAACGATTTTTATTAAGATTTCTCGAAAACAACGGGTCATCAAGAAAAGTTATTTACAACATCGGCGTGAAAAACTGCACAAGACTAGGCTAGGTCCGGTTTCGAAAATCGGTGGTAAATTGAAAAAGATCATGTAGGTGAAAATTTCATAAAACTTTAGAAATTTGAAATAACTTTTAAATTTTTTCTTTTATTTGTTTATTGTGAGTGATTTTCCTTTTGTGATAATCTTATTTTACACTTTTTTTTCTCTCTTTTATGTTTAACAAGAAATTTTGTTTTTTTTTAAACTTTAAACTTCAAACCTCAAAGCCACACGCCAGCACAACATCCGCATTTCCTTAAATATTATTCATTAACAAATTAACATTAACAAATTAACATTAACAAGTTAGCATTAACAAGTTAACATTAACAAATTAACATTAACAAGTTAACATTAACAAGTTAGCATTAACAAGTTAACATTAACAAATTAACATTAACAGAATCCCACCTGACTCCAAGATTTGCTTGCAAAGGAAAACACCAGATGAGCCTGAAGCGCACGCGTTGTTTACCTACAACTCTAAGAGCTCGAAAATTTTCATAAAAATAAACATTGAAAATCGGGATCCCGGTGAAACCAAGCTCATAAAGAGCCCGTTGACCATTGCAAGTGCCTAAAAAGTATCAGTCTTCTATGAAGAGAGGAGATTTTCTTCACCTCCATACAAGTATCCAACGGTGGCCTGTTGAATGTCCTTGTACTCAAGTTTTGCGTCAGCCAAAGCCTCGTTCACTGAAATTTATGAAATTTATGCGACTTCTGGTAGTTAAAATGATAACTTTTATGCATAAAATACCATAGAACAGGTATAACAAGTTATTAGAGTTCATTATTCACTCACCAGCCTCTTTCACCATGTCCGGGTAGTCGAGGCCGGTTGAGCCGGGCTTGGTGAACTGAAATTGTGAATAAATTTGCATTTAAGCTGTTAGCAGCTTTTCAATTTCGCATATTCTTATAGAATCTCGAATTTCGAGTACTTTTCCTGGTAATCATGTTAAAATTGGCATTTAGAAATGATAGAAAACGATAAGTAATGTCTAGTAATCGTTCTTGCCTTGTTTTCCCCTTCAAATGTTTTCCCCTGTATTTGAAATGCAAATTTTTCTACACTGTATGCTAATCTCTATAATTTGATCATAGAGATCGTTCAAATACATTTCAAATCCATTTCAAATACAAATTTGAAGGGGAAAACAAGGCAAGCGCCATTACTGGACATTACTTATCGTTTTCTATCATTTTCAAATGCAAATTTTGGCATGATCACTAGGAAAAGTACTCAAAATTTGAGATTCTATAAGAATCTGAATTCTTAGAATTCTATAAGAACTGAAAAGCTGCTAACAGCTTAAAGAAATGCAGAATGCAATAAGAATTCTTTAGTATCAAACCTTGGTCATGCCGACACCGATCACGTAGACTTTTGTCTTCGTCATTGTGAATCTAAAGAAACATTTAAATATGTAAAAGACACAAAAGAAACGTAAACGAAAAAGAAAACAAAAGAAAATGACTTTAAAACTAAATAGAAATGACTTTAAAACTAAATAGAAATCAAAAAAAAGGACAAGAAACTTTGTCAAAGGTCAAAATGCAATTGAAATGCAATTGAACAGAAATGTGCAGGCAACTATGCCTGTAGCCTTATCACCCGAAAATGGGGAAAGACGTGGGGAAAAGAGAGCAAAAAATGATCTCGAAACCCCTTTCTTTTCCCCCAAATTTCTCTCATTTTCTCCCCTCAATTTGGCGATTCTCTTATTGTCTTTCTTTTCTCCCACTTTTTTCCTTTCTTTTCTACATTTGGTCTGTTATCATCCAACACTCCGAGCAGACTACAACACTCAGATTGTGTTTGTGAGTTGAAAACAAAATATTGAAGTTTAGAGTGGAATTTGTGGAGAAAATTTAGAACAATTTAGACGCTTTTTATTCAGTGACTTCATTTCTTGACCAAACGCTCAAATTTAACATAGATTTTTGAGAAAAATATTGTTTGTGATCGCTCAATATTGTTAATAAACAAAATAAACAAAAAAACAAAATAAACGCTCAATAAACAAAATATTGTTTGTGCTAGAAATGATCGCTCAATCATTTAGTGCTTGATGAGACACGTGGCTAGGAGGTCTCGATCCCGAGTTTCATTTGGCAGACACGTCAAAATGAATAGCTCCAATCGATTCACCGACCCCGAAAGACCCAGGTATAAATTTACAGCTTACAGAATATCTTCTTTTTAAATCATTTTTCCCATGGAAAAAATCGCTGTGTGAATGACTGGCGAGATGTTCTTTGCGCGGCCGCGTAATCACTGATAATGTGTGATTTTTAGTGGGTCTTCTCGAAATGGAAAGTGAAAAGGTGGACTTTTCAGTTTTCCTTCCAGATGTTCTTTGTGCGGCGGCGTAATCGCTCTCGATCTGGCGCAAGACTTCTGGTTAACCCCCTCCCTCGTCCCCCTCATAAACTTACCTGGCTGGGGGGTTTCTCGTGATCATCAAGACGGGACCCCCATGGTGAGACATGGTCATTGCACTTTTGACTGTGTTGACCTGTGTGGCAGCTCCGAGTTGGGGTTCGCTAACAGCTAAATTTTTGCGTGAGGGGCTGCGTTCGCGCGGCCCTGCCAATCCAATTTCAAAATTACAAATGTTAGATCGTTCCATGATCCTCCTCCGTCCTATTTTTGTATTTCCAAGATTCTTCGTAAACAGAATCAGTTTTGGGCGTCATTTTTTATTTTTGGCGTCTAAACTTGGCTGTTTCTCTACGAAACTCGGTGAGTCAAGGATCCACTTTTAAGTAATTTTTACTCATTAGTTGTTATCAAACACTTTGACTTTTCGTCAATTTTGACAAACTACATTCACCTATTGTGTCAGCTCCGAGCCAAACTGATATTTTAGTTACTATTGTTATTATTGAATGATTTGTCTATTCTTCTGCAAACGTGTCCTCCCCTTTGCTTATCCCCTTTATTGCCGAGAAGGGGCGGTCCTTGCCTAGGAGGGCAAGTGAGGCTCTCACTTAGAGTCCCCCCTTCCCCTTACACTCATTTGTAATTTATTCGTCTTATTATACTACTGTAAATAAAGATACATATCTTCCGGGTCTGTGCAACTGCAGTACAGGTTGGTCATTTCACAGGGACCCCCCTCTAATACTTTGGAGGAGTTGAGTTGGGTTGTCGGGGTGTTAGAGATGGCGGGATATCAAAAGGGATCCACTCTCTTTAACTTAACCCAAACTCTAGTCCACATCCGTTTCTACCTAGGAACGAATATGGAGGTTCCACCGAGATACCCTTGTACCCTTGAAGCGTTTATTTTTTGTATCATTTTTTACATCTTTTTTCTTCACTAACTTTATTAGCCTAGTAAGCCACGTGAAATCACAAAAATCATGAACATTAAAAAAAGCCGAGTATCATTTTTGCACTAGACACGATAGAGAGTTGGAGAGAAAAAAGGTTACCAGTAGTTGACTTCATAAAACATTAAAAAAAACGTAAATCTCGATTTGTACCGGGAATAGAAAAAAAGAAAACGGCAGAAAAGCTATAATACTCAGATTTTAGAATTGTTTTAGCAAAAAAAAAGTAATGTAATGCTGGAAAATATGCGGAAAATTATGCGAAATATAATGTAGCACACACTATGTCCAGTATTGTACAAAGAACGGATTAAAGAACGGATTAAAGAAAGGGATTAAAGAAGGAAAAGTTTAAAGAATTTCTTTTTTAAATGATGAATTTCGATTTCTCATCTTGTGAAGTCAACGGATCATCGCTGAGAATGTAAGCAGAAGAGGTGGAATGCGAATGAGCACGGATCTCACAACAGCCGACACGCTCCTTCAACTCGCGAACAATCTCGTGGATCTGAAAGGAAATGATTTCATCGATTACTAGTTCAATCGTTAGGTATCCTTTTCTTGGTTGCGTTGAACAAAAATCTGTCCTAACCTAATTGAGTTGCTGTAGCTTTGTATCAGTCTCTATACTCACTTAGCTGCTCAAATGTCGCGAGCTACTGACGATCCCTATGCTGAGTTACTGTAGCAGATTTTATATATATTACGTCTGATCTAGACTGATTCTAGATAGGATGTCCGATCTAGAGTGAAGTGAGGTCAAGCGTCTCATCTAGAATCAAGCCGATCACTCTAAATCAGACGTTCGATCCAGACTTAAATTTAGAGTGATCGGCTTGATTCTAGATCGCACTTTTGACCTCACTTTACTCTAGATCGGACGTAATATATGTTACGTCGAATCTGAGGGACGTCCATCTCGTCCGGACGTCCGAATCGGGATGGACGTCTCCTCAGATTCGGACGTAACATATACATTTACATACTACAGCATACTATGGCAATTCTTATATACATTCACATAAATAATGTAATACAAACAATACAAAAGCACAATCCCTAAGCCCTAAACCCTAACTCTAAGCGGAAAGAAAAAAAAATCCATATAGACGAAAAAGAATCAAAGCCGGATTGAACCCTTGACCTCTTGACTAGGATACAAGCCTCTTAGCCAGTTGGCCATGACAACATTATGTTACGACCTTGCCAGCTTGCAGTAACTGTCCTTATTCTACGGGCAACTGTTTCGCGGGTTACTGTTGCTATCCAAAAATATTCTAAATAAAGCTCATACATTTTGCAGTAATAAAAATATTTCTCTACTCATTTACCTCGCGATCCTTTGTCTCCGGCAGATTTCTGTATAGATAGAAAAGTGAGAAAATCGATGGGATGATGAAGAGGAAAACGAAAGAGAAACATCCGAAATGATTGTAGGCGGGCAGGGTGAGATAGGAGACGATCAAAGAGACAAATGTATTCGAAACGAACATCTGAAATGATCAGTCTGAAATCACTTTCCCATTCACCAACCATCGATTGTACTAAAGAGCGATATTTTTGCACCACCAACTCGCTCGTGATAAAACACGAGATCGGACCGAGACCCAACCTGAAAAACGAAGGTTTTTTTGGCTGGATTAGTGGATAATTTGGAAAAAAACGGTAATCTTTCCTTCAGATTTTGTCTGTTCTACTTTAATTTTGCCTCTATTCAATTCACAATTTGATTCCACGTCAAATGAGATTAAAATTAAGTGAATCGAAAAGGAAGATGACAGTAGGTTTTCCAAGATCTAGAATCCTCTAGAAACTCGAATCCTCTAGAAACTAGAATCCTCTAGAAACTAGAATCCTTTAGAAACTAGAATCCTCTAGAAACTCGAATCCTCCAGAAACTAGAATCCTCTAGAAACTCGAATCCTTCAAAATCTTTTAGAAAGGTAAGCTAGTTATCATCATTTACCCATAAGAGATTCCGAAGATGCAAAGCGCGACGATGCACCCATTGCCCCAGATATGACCGTAGTGGAAGGACATTTTATCGAAAAACACGTAGAGCACAAAGGAGAACATGTTAAGGACGCCGAGGAGGAGAAGAAGGGGACGACGACCAAATCTGGAATCAGAGAAAAACATTTATTGGGTTGTTACGTTGAAAATGATACGCTAGTAGAGAATGCCCTTCAGAGAGAAAAAAATTTTTTTTCGAGACGTTTTCATCTTAAATTTGAATTTCTGTCGCAAATTTTAAATATTAATTTTCGCACGACGTCGCATTCCAATTGACGTCGCCGCCATTTGGTGGTAGTCGATGGGAGCGTCTTTTCTGTTTCGTTTTCAAATCATTTCTTTTTTGTCAAATTAATTGAGAGTATTGTTTTACGCGATAAAATTTGTGTTGAAATGAGAAAGAAATCTATTTCAATTTGAGAGCCGAGTGGAGAATCCGGAACTTTTCGTAGCCGGACTAGAATTGGAGCGGATGAGAAAGAAATCTATTTCCATTTGAGAGCCGGAAGTGGAGAATCCGGAACTTTTCGTAGCCGGACCACAATGAAGGCCAAAACTAACTGTAAGATGGTTTCGTTGTTTTCATTTAACTCCCGAAAACGAGGCTCATCTTCTGGATTGTTACAAAACTTGCTTTTAAAACAAATTTGATTCAACAACAGGAAGTCAAGTTAATCAAAATATTGTCTATTTTCTTTGATAATCTTCCCATTTCTCTGGCAGTTCTTGAATCCTAAAAGTCTTAGACTTCTGGGCGAAAAAATCCGTCAACCACTTCGGATTTGGAGGATTTGTGCCACAGCCAAACGAGTCATTTTTTGCAAACTGATAACAATTCCCTCTATTCATATAAACGATGAATTGCGAGTTGTTTACAAGTGTATCATTTTCAACATAACAACCCAATAGAAGGATTTGGAAAAGCTGATTGTTTTTGAAATAATCAAATCAGGTTTTTCTGAGCTGATTGAGATGAGCCGTTCCTGTTCTGAGTTACTGTAGCTGTTTCTGTTCTGAGTTACTGTAGCCGTTCCTATTCTGAGTTACTGTAGCCATTTCTGTTCTGAGTTACTGTAGCCGTCTCATGCTCAGGATAAGGATTACTGTAGCTGTCCGAAACTATACTACGACAAGAATAAAGCTTGATTGAATATGGTCAGAATTTCATATTTATAATAAATTTTTATGTTTTATAAATGCGTACCTGGAAACGACATATGTCCCCGGGATACCCGATAGAAATTGGCACAAAATGAACCCAAAGGAAGCAAGCTGAAAAGAATACAATTTTTTTCGTTGTCAACTTGTTAATTGAAAGCATTACAATTGTAGTTCTTGTAGTTGTTCAGTAGTCTTTTGTTCTTACAATCAATGCCTTTTACCTGAGCTGTTTCAGAGTCGAACATCTCCTCGAGGAACTCCGTTGATAGATAGATCATTGGGAAAAGACCCATCACAAGCTGAATAGGCAAAGTTCTTTTTAAGTCTTTTTAAGATTGGAAACCTGTAAACTGGCAACCCCAATGAGATATGGAGTGCGGAGATAGGCCTCGGAGAGAACGAATTTCACGCCGCCGAAGAACGAGAATTTCTCGTCTTGGTCGAGCGCTTCTTTGGCGATCTCATTCAACACTTCAGCCTTGTCCGTGTTTAAACCTGAAAGTGAAGAGTTTTTGGGCTGATAGTCTGGTTTAGATGCTCGAATCAGTCGGGTTTCACTATCTTGTTAAGCCTATCACGAGTTACTGTAGCAGCCACTTGCGGGTTACTCTAGCTGTTCCTGTTCTGGGTTACTGCAGCCGTTCCTGTTCTGAGTTACTGTAGCTGTTCCTGTTCTGGGTTACTGTAGCCGTTCCTGTTCTGAGTTACTATAGCCGTTCCTGTTCTAGCTTACTATAGCCGTTCCTGTTCTGAGTTACTTTAGCCGTTCCTGTTCTGGGTTACTGTAACCGTCTCATGCTCAGGATAAGGTTTCCTATAGCTGTCCGAAACTATACTACGACAAGAATAAAGCTTTGTAAGTGCTGCTGCAATCAATCATCAAACCAACCGTAGTAGAACCCAATCGAAGCCTTTGCAGCCTCGAGATTGTTTTTGACGAGCAACAGATATTTGGGGGTTTCGTGAAGGGGAAGAATGGCGAACAAACAAATAAAACCCGGTAGAATAGCGATGGCTAAAGTTGGGTAAGAAAAATTGTTTATTTCAAGAGCTTTTACCAGTTAAAACGACTAGATTTTTGCCGAAAAAGCGATCCATTCCGGCGCCCATGCCCACAACGGTGCACAAGAGGAAAGTCACCTCGGCGAGAAAAGATGAGACACCGCGGAGATGGGTTGGCGTCGTTTCCTGCAATTATAGGAATATGGGTATTGATTTGAGAGCAAGCCATTTTAAACAGCACTTTCTAAACAGCACTGTCTAAACAGCATTTTATTTCCAGAAAACTACCGTAATCGTACCACCATTCGAGCCCAATTTTGGTATCATAATATTTTGAATGGGTGCTGATGCTGTGATGCTTCAATACCTTATGACTTTAACTGGCCCAAGTCCCATTCTTGCAGCAACTTTCATCATTTCGGAATCACAAGCAATAGTACGAGTCAATAATACTGGTGCTTTGATTACGGTAGTTTTCTGGCGCTTTGATTACGGTAGTTTTCTACAATAGGCTAGCCATAAAGCTATGAAAAGCCTTGTAATCAGTCAACCAAAACATGAAATCAACAAAACTTGTTAAAAGTTTATACCTGCAGAAATAGAATCAGTGTGCCAAAGGTGATCCCACCAGCCACCGAAATGGCGCCACGGGCCACGAAATAAAGCTCAGGGATTTCAAAAATAATCGAAATGCATGAAAGGATTGATGAACAAAGAGAAGTTGAACAAGCATACAAAAGAGCATCTGAGATTTATCAAAATTTTAAGCAATTTTCTCTTTGATTTCTTCTCTCTTTACTTTTTCTTCCAAACTTTTCGGTGATGACAGGGATCAGGAGGTTTCCGAAGAGAAATCCGAGATGCCAAACGTTTAGAATGGCTGACCAGATCCATGTGTAACTTTCTTCGGAAAGTCCGCCCTGCGATATATTAGAATAGAGGTTAAAAGGCTTTACTGGCTTTAAAAGAATACCTCATAACCCCTCTCAATCGCTGTCTCGTTGAGGAAGAGCTTGAACGAAAGATAGGAAGTATTTGGATAGGTGTTTGAGTAGCCTTCCTGTAATCGAGTTTTGAGGAGAATTTATTGAAAATGGGGCTTTTAAGATGGGTTGATGGATCAGGGTGGATTACTGAGCTTCAGGGGATTACTGAGCTGGCATTAGCCCCTTCGGCTTGCTAGGTAGCTGATCTTATTACTTATTATTAGCCTGTGCCGGGTCAGTACTAGTGTACATCTCTCAAACACCTTTTATACCTTGCTGAGACTAGACTATGGCTTCGGCTTTAGCTCTAGCTTTGGCTTTGGCTTCAGCTCCGGCTCCGGCTTTAGCTCTAGCTTCGGCTTTGGCTTCAGCTCCGACCTTAGCTTCAGCTCCGGCTTTAGCTCTAGCTTCGGCTTTGGCTTCAGCTCCGGCGTCGGCTTTAGCTTCAGCTCCGGCTTTAGCTTCAGCTCCAGCTTTAGCTTCAGCTCCGGCTCCGGATTTTAATGTGCTAGAAGAGAGTTACTAGAAAAACTCTTCGAACCGAGCCCTGGGTCTGTAAGTAAAGCTGACAAGGCTGACTTGAGAAATTGAACATCTTAGGAAAAATCCTCTACTAACCGGTCATAGATTTGATACTATTGACTGTGCTAGTCCCTTGTTAATCCCTGAAAGATTGAAAACTCTAAAATTGTATGATGGGTTACTAGAAAACTTACGGGAAAATTGATGCATATGCCGAGCATGGATGTGATGAGGATCGTCTTGAAACGACTTCCCTCCGGGGCGTAAACATTTTTGACTTTTGCGGAGAATTTCTTGTAGATGGTCATTTCCTTTCTAGGGATCAACCATCCGGCTGAAAATTTGAATCAATATCTCCAAGGGGAATCAAGAGAGATCGACAAGAGAGATCGACAGAGTCTTCAACAAAATGAACAGCCGATTTTTAAAGGTAAAAAGCCTCTGACGTGAGTAAATGGACACTGAGATAGCAGAAAAAAAAAAGTGAAAACTTTGAGAGGCTCTCAAACTTTTTCCGTGTTGGAAAAAAGAAATGAATGAACGATAACAGCTGACAGAATTGAGAATGAGAAGGGAAAATGAAAGTAAAGGAAAGAAGGAAAAGAAATGGAACTCTTTTTAAAGGGGAAAAATATCATACATGTTTAAGGGTCATTTCTGCGGATGTTTACTTCAAAGATTGAGGAAAATTGGGGGGAAAAAAGGCCTTGGACACAAGCGGGCCTTGGACACTTCACTGGAATGGCAAAGTCTGCGCTAAGTTAAAAGGCTGTTGGGTCGGTTATTCAAAAATCCTGAAACATCAAAAATCCAAAATTCAAGCCTTTTTACACAGGTTACACTAAACTATTCAATTTTTTTTTTGCTTAAAAATACTGTAGCCAAAGTATCCCTCATTTTCTATAGACTACAGACAGACTTCCTGCGCCTAAATAAATGCTATTGGTAGTACCAGAGTTGTTCGAAGAGTAATTTGAAAGATGAACGGATCAGGCCAGGCTTGGCCTTGCTGCAAAAGCCACAAAAAAGACACTGGACCCAACCAAACCTGGATCTGGCCTTTGGCTTGTCTTTGTCCTTGCCTGGGTAATGAAGAATATACAAATCCTACAAGACTTTAAATATCCTGCCTACAATTTTACAGAGAATAGTGTTGCCCCAAAAAAGGCTATTGGGTCAAAAGTCAACCCTTCTTATGTAAGAGATTGTATGTAAGAGATCGGATCTGTACATTATGTAAGAGATTACTGATCCAAAGAAGTAATTTTCGAGTGTTTTCTAAAAAAGCAAAAGCCTGGTCGATGGCGGACCTGAACTAGGGACAAGAGTAGCACACTATCCACTAGGCGATCGAGGCAGACTGACTGGTCCACTACGAATGCCTTAAGTATTGCAGCCAATAGACTAGCTTGCTGTTTGGTGAAATTGGTCAAAACTTTGAAGGCTTATATCTTGAAAATATCTTATGATAAGTCGGATTTGAAAGCATTTTTGGGATGGCCTTAACCAGGGGTTGTTTGTATCTCGGAATCAGATCGCTCCTGAAATATTACTTCAAAGAGTTCCCTGATTAAACTTATAAATAACGAATTTTTCTGTTACACTGGTTTTTGGAATAAATTGTCCAATCTCAAAATTGGTGGACAATACATCATATCGGGAAAGCTTATGAGAAAAATGATATTATGTTTATAGCGAGTAAAACTCGCAGAGTTTGGCGAGCAAACAAGGGAAGCCGCCGAAAAGAAAAAGCAAAACCATCGACCGCAAAAACTGAAGAGAGAATGGAACAACCACAAAATGACAAAAAGAAAACAAAAGCGCCCGCCAAGAAAAGCCACACAAAACACAAACGGACTAGAAAACCAGGGGGACCCGCAATTGGCAACAAGTAAAAATGCCACTTATATATAAACACCAAAGAAGGAGAAGAACCAAAGACACCTGCCAAACCAGCGCGTGGCAAACCCACGAAAGAAGCTTTTGACCTCAAAAGCATTTGTAGAGAATTGGACCTTTGATGAAACCAAACGAGTAAAGGTATGTGCAGCCCTCGGGCGCTCATTCTCCCCAACCCAATAAAACGAATTTTTCAAAAACAAAAACATTAATCAAAAAAAGCCTACGATTTCTAGTGAAATGAAAAGTGAAAATTTATCGTTTTCTTAAAATATCTTTTTTCTTCGGTAGCCTACTTGGGTATGAGTCAAAAATGTTTGGTATTCACGTTGGATTGCGTGCAAATGAAAGATGCGAAGGAGATGGAAATGGTGAATAGATCATTTGAGAGGAGACTTGTTTATAAAGTAATGTGAGATGTGGAAAATGGAAAATGGAAAATGAGAGGGGAATTCGGGAATGAACTCGTCGGTTGACATGCGGAAAGGTGGGAGAGTGACGAACTACTTAAATATAGAGAAATGATGAAAGTTGCTGCAAGAAGAGGGCTTGGGCCAGTTAAAGTCATAAGATTTTGAAGCATCACTACCCATTCAAAATACGTGGAAACAAGAGCTGAAGATCCCAACAATACAAATCATGCTGGGATAAGCTGATCTACGGTGCCAGATTCGATTTCCCAGTAATCTGCTTATCCAAATTGAATGTAAAGTTCGATTACAATTAGAATAAGCTGATCTACGGTGCCAGATTTCCCCAGATCCAGCGGAGTTCTTTAGCGAATAGTTTTGGAATTCTGTATCAGAAAATTCGAGACTTTTGCTGTTTGTTACTGTTTTTGGAGCGATTTGGATACGATTAACATTAGCATTAACAATTGCGGTTTGAAAAGACTTGCTTCGGCATTAACAATTGCGGTTGCGATTAGCAATTTGAGAAGATGAATGGATAGTTTTTGTCGGTTCTTTCTATTACCGGAGATGGCCCAAAAGGTACTAGTAATAGTAAGCACAAGTAAGTAAGCACAATAAACACAAGCGAAAAGGTAATAGTAAGCATAGTGCTCCTTTTTTGTTAGAAAGTAAATAACATTAGTATTTTTTTTGTTAAGCACCTTAGAATAGCCTAAATTAAGTATATATAGCTTCTCGCGATATTGAGTAACATCTTTTGATTGTTTTAGGAAGAATGCTAAGTGACAGACTCTTACAGAACACTGAGATAATCTGGCTAATACTAAGCCTTGGGTAACGAAGACTTATCTTAAGGCTAATACTAAGCCTTCGGTACCGAAGCCTTATCTTAAAGGTAATACTAAGCCTTCGGTACTGAAGGCTCATCTTAAGAATAATACTAAGCCTTCAGTATCGAAAGCCTATCTTAAGGCTAATACTAAGCCTTGGGTACCGAAGGCTTATCTTAAGGCTAATACTAAGCCTTCGGTACCGAAGGCTTATCTTAAGGCTATAGTCATGACACCCCAATAAATGTATAGGGGTATAGTCATGATATCCCAATAGGATTTCTAAATTAACCCGGTCTAGCCAGATTCAACTATTTTTGTAGCCTTTCCTTTCAGAGCTTTGAAAGAAGCCTGGTCAACAGTAAGTTTCAATCTTATCATGCATTCTAAAACTGATCGATGACCTCTTCTAGAGTATTTGAAAAAGAAACGAGAACATCGTTGAGGTCAGCAGCTGGAGAACTGGCGGCGGTAAGGGTGTGGTGTTCTCAATTCCCTCAATCTCTTTCCACCGGTCGATGGGCACTCGAAATTTGTGGGAGATGTCACCTTTCTTCACTTCAACTCATCCTCTCACCATTCTGCACTTCAACTCATCCTTTCAATTTTCTGCGCGTAAATAAACTTACAGATGGGAGAGGAAAGAAAATGAAAGGAATTGGGGCTTTTCGATCAAATTTCGAGTAGACTGAACGGCTTTTCGATATTTGAGAGCAGATTTCACGGTCACAAAATCACAAAATTCAAGAAATCAAATCAGAATGATCATTTCGATTAGAAGTTTTCTAGTTTTGTAGTCTTCTAGTTATCTAGTTTCCTAGTTTTCTAGTTTTGTAGTTTTCTATTTATCTAGTTATCTAGTTTTCTAGTTTTCTAGTTTCCTAGTTTCCTAGTTCTCTAGTTCTCTAGTTCTCTAGTTTTCTAGTTTTCTAAAGAAGAGGTCATGAAGCAATTATTTGACTACAGTAGGCTGCATTAAAAAGTTTAAATAAGCTACTATTGACCAGGGTTTTTCCAGAATCAATTTTTTCAACCTGGACCTGGTCTCCTTATAAACCCTAGGAACATTCGTTCTCCATTTCGAATCTAGAAAAATTATATAGCGCCTAAAGGTACTGTAGATATTGAAAACTATCTACATTTCGTTTTTTGATAACTGTATTTGTCATGACGCCATTCGTCGAGCAAAGTTCCCACCGAATCTGAGGAAATTGTGGACAAACTGGCCGTTCGGTTGTTAATTAGTTTCGGGAAAACCCCCCCTACTTTTTTGACTATAAAATACCGGTAAATCTAATTCAAGAAAAGAAAAAGAAATAATTGAAAACCCAATGGAAGTGTTGAGCGGAAATTGGTCAATTTCAGCTGCTTTTTGATGAAGTTTTCAAAGAAAAGGTTTCATGATTTCATTGAACGAATTGTTTGGATACTTTACAGTAATCGGAATACTTTGCAATCTTAAGCTTCCTAAAACGCATCAACTTTTGATATTTATCGTAGGCTTGGCTTAAGTTTTTCTTTTACCGTAACTCGGCTAAAAAATAAAGTCAGAATTACGGTTCAAAAACGGTCTTAGAAAGCATACCAGTTGGATTTACTCTATTCAGAACCGCTTAGAGCTTTTCAACTCCATTAGCAGGGCCGCGCGAACGCAGCCCCTCACGCAAAAATTTAGCTGTTAGCGAACCCCAACTCGGAGCTGCCACACAGGTCAACACAGTCAAAAGTGCAATGACCATGTCTCACCATGGGGGTCCCGTCTTGATGATCACGAGAAACCCCCCCAGCCAGGTAAGTTTATGAGAAGGCGATTGGCGTGACATAGGGAAGACCCCTTTGCCAAATTGCGCGCCTTTACAGGAGGCAACAAAGTACGCACAACGAGAGAGCGAAGACGCAGAAGGAGCGCTTTCGAAAGAAAACAGCAAAAATTGTTGTGGAGAGACAATAGAAAAAAGAAGCTTGAAATGAAGCTACCGTAATCTTTAGAGAAACAACTAAATAACCTTTGCTAGCTTTTTCATAATAGCAACTTTTCAAAACGCTTCAACGCTCATGCGAATATGATAGCTACAATAA